ACTTCATTAGAGAGGCAAGGCTCCTGATAAACCTATTTCCCAGACCTCCCTAAAAGGTATGTGCCATCCATCCCTTCCTGCAAAATTCACTCGAAGATCAACCCAGACCACAAGAGAGCCATGTGTTTTGACTTCATTCTTTGGAGCTTTTATAGATCTCTATTTAAGAATCACTAAATTATTTTTGATTCAACAAAATTAAACATTAATTAATAAACATTAATCTAATAATCATTAAATATACTTTTTATTTAAAAAATTTAACACTTCATGGTGCTGACTATATGCTTCAAACAGTTTTAAACACTTCAAAAATATTCATTTATATTATCTCCATAACCATCCTATGAGGTCGGAATTATTATCCCTATTTTACAGATGAAGAAATTGAGGCCCAGAGAGGTTAAGTACTTTCCCAGGATTACATAGCTGGTAAAGGGTGGAGCCAGGACTGAACCCAGAAAGGTTGGCTCCAGGATCCAAACTCTGAACTACTCTATAGCCATATGAAATTCATTATCATATGGATTGCAGGAGTTCTCTGAAATACATCCTCTACTCAATAAGGATCCACAAGTTAGCTTCTCCTAGACTTTCTATCAGGAAAAGCTGTGGGCTCCCTTCTAGCAAAAGTGGGTGCTTTGCATTTCTATGAGCTTATTTAATCTTGGCTCTATGATTGCCCTACCCTTATTTTTCATTTGCCCAAGCCCCTTAATCGTTTATCTTTTTGTGTTGTTGCATTTTTCTAAACTGGCATAACTGCTTTATGGAATGTGGTGGGGAATAAATATACATATACAAATAAATACAATTAATTTTTTCCAAGTATTTATGAGATGAATCTATCCATCGCCAGGAAAATATCATTTCAATTACCAAACCCTACTGTGTAGCCCCAGTTATGTAGCTAGTGACTCACTTTCCACATCCTCATTTCTTTTACAGTCATGTCTGTGTGAACTAGAAAAAGAAATGAAAATACCACCTAGGTCCTTCAATTTCCCGCTTAAAATGTCAGAGTCTCTGGAGACACATTCCAGAGCTTTATGGGCCACGTCTGCCCTAATTGGCCACAGAAGTGACAGAATTCAAGCCAGGACATGTCCAGCAGGAGTCTGAGTACACAGGCGATGACCTGGTTGGGCTGTAAATGGGTGGGGAAATGGAAAGTCCTTGGTTATATCAGGCGAAGAGTCAGGAGCAAGAATCCAAGCCGAGAGTGGGGTGATGGCAGGTCAGAAACCATTTTTAAAAAAACAAAAGCGATCAGAATGAAGTTAGAGTGTAGAGCCTGCAGGGGCAACAGACAGATGCTAGGACAGCAGGCTAGCATGGGGTCAGTGGGCTTCTCGTGACCCAGCCTTGTCTATTTCTCTTGCTTCATCTTTCACCATGCTCCTTCCATCTTCCACTCCAGCTATGCTAATAAATTAATAAATGTTCCCCAAATATGCCAAATGGTTTCACACCTCCACACCTTTTTTCTTGCTGCTCCCTTTCCCTTGCCTCTGTCCACCTGACAAATATCTACTGATTTTTTTCCCAGATTCTGCTTAAATACCTTCACCATGAAGCTCTTCTTGTGCCCCCCACCACAGCCTGCCTTCACTCATCCTTTGTGTCCCTTCCCCACCCAAGTACCTGTTGCCACATCTATCTTGACTTTCACAGCACTGATAAGCGTATGAATTCGCACCTTAGCAGTCCGATGTGAGAAATGTCACATTACATATTTCTATTTTTTTTTTAGATTGGCACCTGAGCTAACATCTGTTGCCAATCTTCTTTTTTTTCCCCTTCTTCTCCCCAAAGCCCCCCAGTACATAGTTGTATATTCTAATTGTAGGTCCTTCTGGTTGTGCCATGTGGGACACTGCCTCAGCATGGCTTGATGAGCAGTACTAGGTCCACACCCAGGATCGGAACCGGCAAAGCCCTGGGCCACTGAAGCGGGAGCACGTGAACCTAACCACTCAGACATGAGGCCAGCCCCCTACTGTATTTTTCTAAATCAAATTTAGAAAATATTAGTCTCCAAGTGCTAGGATATAGACACAATCATTATCTGTATGAGTGCCTCTCCCCCTCCCTGGGGTCATACTCAGAATCCTAGTGGGCTAACAGTCCAGAAAATGTGAGAAGTGGCCATCTCGTCTTCAATACACCTCCAGTACATTGTTGAATAGAAGTGGCAAGAGCAGACATCTTTGTCTTGTTCCTGATCTTAGGGGCAAAACGTCTAGTTGTTCATCATTACCTATGATGTTAGCTGTGGGTTTTTTGTAGAGGCCTTTGTCAGGTTGAGGAAGTTCCATTCTATTCCTAGTTTATTCATGAAAGGGTTTCAGATTTTATCAAATGGGTTTTCTGCATCTATTATGTAGTTTTTGTCCTTGTTCTAGTAACATGGTGTATGACATTGTTTGATTTTTGGATATTAAACCAACCTTGCATTCCTAGGATAAATCCCACTTGGTTGTGGTGTATAATCCTTTTTATTTATTGCTGGATTTGGTTGGCTAGTATTTCACTGAGGATTTTTGCATCTATATTCATAAGGGATATTAGTCTGTAATTTTCTTTTCTTGTGATGTCTTTGTCTAGTTTTAGAATCAAGGTAATACTGGCTTCATAGAATGAGCTGGAAAGTGTTTCTTCATTTTATTTTTTGGGAAGAATTTGTGAAGGATTAGTGTTTCTTCTTTAAAGATTTTATTTTTCCTTTCTCTCCCCAAAGCTCCCTGGTACATAGTTATATATTTTTGGTTGTGGGTCCTTCTAGTTGTGGTGTATGGGATGCCACCTCAGCATGGCTTGATGAGCAGTGCCATGTCCACGCCCAGGATTCGAACCGGCAAAACCATGGGCCACTGAAGCAGAGTGCATGAACTTAACTACTTGGCCATGGGGCCGGCCCCTAGAGTTTCTTCTTTAAATCTTTGGTGGAATTCACTAGTGAAGCCATTTGGGCCTTGGCTTTTCTTTGTGGGAAGTTTTCTGATTACTAATTCTATCTTTACTTGTTACAGGTTGTGCAGAAAAGTTAATACAGCAGGCCTGAGACTCCTATCCTTAGAAAGTCCTGTTTGTAAGATTGATCCTTGGCTGGCATCTGGGAAGGTAGATTTCAAGAGTGTTCGCACCATTACCTAAATAACAAGAGCTGCTCACTGTGCCTAAACTATTTGTGCAAAAAAATATGGTTTATGTTGAACATCTGCTTTTCTTCGAGGAGTCTAGAATTTTGGTACATGCTAGGTACAAAGTGACTGTGTGACCAGCCCCCAGTAAAAATCTTGGGCACTGAGGCTCCAATGACTTCTTCTGGTAGACAACATTTTACACATTTTGTCACAATTTAGTGCTGGAGGAATTAAGTACATTCTATGTGACTCCATAGGTAGGAGACTCTGGGAAGCTTGTGCCCAGTTTCCTCTGGACTTCACCCCATAAGCCTTTTCCCTTTGCTGATTTTGCTTTGTATCCTTTTGCTTAATAAATCACATCCCTGAGTATGACTATAAGCTGAGTCTTGTTAGTCCTCTTAGTGAAGCACTGAACCTGGGAGTGGTCTTGAGGACCTGAAACACAGATTCATTCAGATTTTCTATTTCTTCCTGAGTCAGTTTCAGTAGTTTGGGTCTTTATAGGAATATGTCCATTTCATCTAGGTTATATAATTTGTTGGCATACAATTGTTTACAATATTGCCTTATAATCCTTTTAATTTCTGTATGGTTGCTAGTGATGCCCTCTCTTTTATTTCTGATGTTAGTAACTTGGACATTCTCTGTTTTTAACTTGATCAGTCAAGCTAAAAGTTTGCCAATTTTGTTATCTTTTCAAAGAACCAACTTTTGGTTCCATGATTTCCCCTATTATTTTTTTACTCTATATTTCACTTCTTTCTACTCTAGTTTGTTTCACTCCCTCCCTTCTGCTTGCTTTAGGTTTGGTTTGGTCTTCTTTTTCTAGTTTCTTAAGGTGGAGGGTTATGTTATTGATTTGAAATCTTTCTTCTTTTTTAATAGAGGAGTTTTCAGCTATAAATTTCCTTCCAAGCACTGCTTTAGCTCTATTTCATAAATTTTGGTATGTTTTTTTATTTTCATTCATCTCGAATTATTTTCTAATTTCTCTTGTGATTTATTCTTTGATCCACTGATTAGTTAGGAATATGTTAATTTTCATATTATTTGTGAATTTCCCAAATTTATTTTCATTATTGTTTTCTAATTTTATTCCACTACAGTTGGAGAAGATACTTTGGATGATTTCAATCTTTAAAAATTTATTGTAGCTTGTTTTATGGCCTATTATATGACCTATCCTGGAGAATGTTCCATATTCACTTGAGAAGAATGTATAATCTGCTGTTTTAGGGTTTCAAATCTCTTTTACCATCTTCCCTTGGTCTCCTTTGTGGGAGCCAGGGTGAGAGTAGCAGAGTAGTGGACATTGCAGCTTCTTTTTCTTCCCTCCTTGGTCCTGCCTTCGAGAGTAAGAGAATAAGTCAAAATTGCCAAATTAACCTGATTTCTTCCTGATGCCCTTCCAGTTTCCAAAAACCCCCAAGTATGCATAGCTTTTCCATTACTAGCTGTAATTTCTCTTCCTGGATGCATTATGACAATGAAATATGTCTCTTCCCGCAAGCAAAGGGAAATGAGTGCTCTTGCTCTTCCCTCCTCTCAGTGGCTGCCTCTGAAACACTTCCATTCAGGAGTTGGTCAATGCTTCTTTAATCACTGAATTTGGTCCCAGGACATCATATTGATGGCAGACCAAGGGGATGCTGGTTTAGTGAGATTAGAGCTTTTACCTGCTATAATAAATTCCCATCTGCCCTTCTGGTAAGGTCTACACCAGTGCCGTTAAAATTGTCCTTTCTACTCACGTCTCCTCATTTACCTGGAAGTGAGTACCCACATCCTCTTCCTTCCCTTTGCTATCTGTAAAGGATCCATTTAGCTGCAACTAACAGAAAACAACCCAGCTCTCACTTGAGTAATTAAGAGTTTATTTTTCTCATGTAACAAGAAGTGTTAGGGGACAGACAACTCCAGGGCTGATGCGGTTGATCAAGGACACCATCAAGGACCCAGGCACTTTCCATTTTTCCACTGCAGCATCTATATCAGGTGTACTTCATCCTTATGCCTGTTGCTTCATGGTCACAAGATGGCTGCTGCACCTTAAGCCCAAGTCCTGTCCTAGGGAGAAAGAAGGGGTAGGGTGCAGAAGCAAAAAGCCTGCCAGAAAATTACGAAGCTTTTCCGGAAGCTCCACCCAGCAACTTCCACGTATGTCTCATTATTTAAATCTAGGTCACATATCACCCCAGACCAATCACTGAAATGCTAAAAAATGGCTAGAGAGAAGGGAGAAGAATGGGGGGGTGGGAGAACAGTGGCCAGTCAACCAACAGTGGCTGCCATACCTTCCTTCACAGCTTTCGTAATTAGAAGTTAGGGCAGGGGTGGGGGAGGATGACTTTAGTCCAGCTTAGCTTGGAGTATGGCATGTCATTCAACTCTGCCCCATCCACATTAGTTCTTAACAGAATCAGTCCCCGCCTCCTAAAATCTAAGCTCCCTGGCACCTTCTGTAGCAAAGTCCCTAACCACAACATAAATACAGATACCTTTTCACCTGCCTTCTGGTAAATTCAGCATCCAACTCATGCTCTTTTCTTTAGAATTAGCAAAAGCATATTCTAAGATACTTAGCAGTCATCTATAGTCATTAAGCATTGTCTGATTTGAGGACCCCAAAGGCAGTCTTCTGGGACATCCCCATGCCACTGCCTTTGCTCAGCCTCAGAAACTTGCTATGGCAATTAACCATTTCCATCACAGGTACAATTGCCTGTACCAACTAGTCAACCCATGACTTGAGTGACATGTTCAAGCTTGGGTCCTGGACTTCAAGTCTCTGGTGCCATTAACCACTGTCCAGGAAGAGGTTAGAAATTCAGAGTCCAAAAGAGGGGCCTTAAAGCTTATCTTCCCTACTTTCACTTTCTCAGAATACTCCTGGGAATTGCAGATAAATCAATATTTTTATCAAACTCTAAAAAGGGTGCATTTGCCTCTCATCCTTCCAGAACCTTCTGCCAACCTCCTTGTAAATCAGTCCAGAAGTTTTAAAGCATTCTGTAAAATCCTTTCAACTCAGTCTCTTCCCAGTCCTCTGATAGTCCTCACATTAAGAGTTACTTTTGAGAGACCTTACTCATTTCTGCATCTCATTTCTCCAACACAATCTTAGCTATTGTCTCAAAATCAATAGACCCAAATTCTGGGGATCAAGAACTTTTCTGTGTGCAACAAAGTTTCTTCGTAATCCCACAATGTAGCAGGTGTGAATTTGTTCTATCACACTGAGGTGCAAGAAATGTCACACTGCCATAGTTTTGGCAACCCCCCCCCCCCATGACTTGCCACAGTGGCAAGATATTCTGTTCTCCGTGGAGTCTTGGAATGGTGACCAACCCCCTTGGTTTGCCGAGGACAGAGGGGTTTTCTAGGATGGAAGACTCTCCATGCTAAAAATGGGCAAACCGGAACAGTTAGTCATCTTAAGTCTTAGAGACATTAGTTTACAAGCCTTCCCTTTATTATACTATACTGTAAGCTATATACTTCCTTCACATGTACTATATTATAAGCTCTAAGAGGACAGAGAACATGTCTAATGAATTTCTATATATCCATGCCTAGTGCTTGGGACATAATGAGTACTCAATAAATTCTTAATAAACAAACTAATTCACAAACAAATGCATGAACCAGTGTAAAAGCAGAAGATTAAAATAACAATAATAATCCAAACCTGAGCAACATCAGACGTTACTTGAGCCAACTGAAATGGAGCGCCCTGCAATTCCTACTTACCCCTTCGAGTCTTAAAGAGGTCATGTCCTCAGAGCAGGGGCAAATCCCGCCCCCGCCCCCCGACACACACACACACACACCATGATTTCTATATCATCTGTGTCCACCTTGATGGATTTGAGAAGCATCAGGTAGACTTTCCATCACATTTTGGATCTATTCTTCAGGAAGACAGCACATCTCCAGATATAAGCAAAGTGTTAAGAAAGCATGAACTTCTGAAGTTACCCTACCACCTGCCCGGCCTACCAGACCTCCTCAAGAGTTCTGGGCTGCACAAATGATTACACTGCTTTAAAGTCTCCAGAACCTGCCCCCCACCTCCAACCAGTACTTTCCCTCTGGGGTATAACTCTAATGCTAGCAAGTTTTTTCTGCTTCACTGTATCACATTCCACTTGTCTTCCAGAAGACACTGATATTCCTCTATCCCTTTAACATCTTGTTTTTCTCCTTTTTTCCTTTCCTCTTATATTATTCCTTCCAAGTTTTCATAAAAGTTACAGTGGGTAGAGCTAGTGTGCTTTCCTTCATCTCATTTAGCAAGGAGACTGTTATGTTTGTACCAGGTATAACTGCTGATCACCTCAAGCAAGAGGACACAATTTACAGATGATTGTAACAGTTCTGACTCCATATTTCCTGGAGTTTTGTGGTTTTCCTTGAAAAACTACCACAGAAAATTGCCTCATTTCCATGCCTGGTTTACAAGTGTGCACCTAGAAAATCTGCTCATGTCTGCTTGTCTCTTCTGCTGATCCATGTGCTAACCTCTGTAATCTCCACAGCACACAGCAAAGTGTCTCCTCTGTTCTGCAGTACTCTTCACTCCAAGAGTCACTGCCCCCAGAATTCTGACCCTTCTTTTTGCCCTGTGACAGGCTGAGTTGATGTCAAGGGCCCTGTCCCTCGCCCACTGCCTTGTTGTACAAAGCTTTCCTCTCCCTCATCGCTCCTCCTCCTCTCCCTTGGCCCGAGACCTTGACCACCTTCCTCATAAGCCCCCTCTCTGGGCATCCCAAGGATGTTCCACAGTCAGTCCACTCTAACCCCAGTCGTGCAATACAACCAGATTTTATCACCCTGAAAATAAGACCTGAATTTTCACAACACCCCACACAAGTCTCTGTTTTTAGGAATTATAATTCTTAGAACTCTACATTTACCATTTTCTAAGAGGTAAACACCTACTCCAGGTTAAGGGGCATCCCTTAACTTGCGTCTGCATTGTTAATCCTTTCGTGCACATCCTGACCAGGGAGGAAGAGCAGTACCTTGGGGCACTGGTGAGTCAGGTAGGAAGTCCCTCCCTCCCAGGGCCAGGGTAAAATGCTCAGCCCTCCCTGACCGCCCCCCCCCCCCCCCCCCC